GAACAGCCGTGTTAGTCTATGGTAGCCAAAAATCAGAGTCCAGTGGCGTTTTTTCAGACTAGCACATTTGATTAAAAGGCAGAAGCTTTCAATGACTGAATTCCCACATCATGAACCACAACGTACTATATTACTACCATATATTATGATATTGTTACAACTGTTATTTCTATTCTATTCCATCTTTCAGGAGGAGAATCCTTTCAAAGTGTCTCAGAGGGAAACTAACCGGGGGAAATTGTCCAACATTGCAAATGAAAAAACCATGAATATTATTTAGGAACGCACAAGCAGTAAGACCTCGGTGACAGCTGTTTCCTGCCGACCCTGGTCTCCCGTTCTGTGTCACATTTGAACCCTGTCTCTGTGTTGTGTGAACCCAGCCAATGCCTGATTACGATTCTTGTTTTTAAGAAATAACATTTCTCCTCCAGTTTTATAGACAACTGACCTTCTGTGGCGCAAGACACAACTTGCAGATTTAGATAATGTGCTCATCAGTGCTTTGCTCTCCCTCCATCCCTCTCACAAAAGTCATTTAAACAGTGAACTTTTGACATGTCTGTTTGTACCATTTGTACCAACTTTGACTGAAGACACCTTCCAGAGTTTCAGAAGCCCTCCTTCCTCTGGTATGAGCGTCTTCCCCATAGAAAATATTTGCAGAAAAGTTAGCAATGAAACTGGTTACGACACCCTGTTTTTCACTTTCATGGCTAGATGGTCTCTGGCCCGCAAGTTGCAATGGGGTACAGTGCTTGAAGCAGACTGGGTACCACTTTTCGCCGTGGTCTGGGAGCAGGCAAATCTGACAAACTTTTGCCCAGCCAAAAAGTACAAGATGGGGTCCAGGCAACTGTTCGTGCTGGCCAGCGGGCGGGTGAGTTTGTAGGCCAGGTTGATGGCGTTGAGGGTGGGGCAGCTGAGATCCCAGCTGCGGAAGGAGTAATACAAAGTGCGGGTGACGTGAAAGGGCAGGAAGCAGACGATGAAGACCACCAAGACGATGATGATCATCTTGACGGACTTCTTCTTGGAGCTCGACATGCGGGTGGTGCCCCGCGTGGGCTGGAGCAGCTTGTGGGCCATCATGCAGTAGCAGACGATGATGAACAAGAAGGGGATGCAGAAGAGGAGGACGAGCATCACAGAACTGTAGATGATGAACTGGCCAAAAAGTTCCTTCGCGGACGTGTCGTGGCAGGTGATGCTGTTGCACCTCTGGCTGGTGGTGACGAAGAAGAGCACTGGGGACTGGCAGGCGATCACCACCAGCCAGACCCCGGCGGAGACCCAGCGGGCGTAGCGGACCTGGCCCCACTCCAGGGACCTCAGAGGGAGGCAGACGCCCATGAAGCGGTGGGCGCTGATGCAGAGGAGGAAGAGGATGCTGCAGTAGAGGTTGGTGTAGAAGAGGAACCGGACAATCTTGCACAAGCCCACGCTGAACGGCCAGTTGTCCTCCATGGCGTAATAGTACACCAGGAGCGGCAGGGAAATCACGTAGAGCAAGTCGGACACGGCGAGGTTGAACATGTAGGTGGTGGAGGCGTTCCAGGTCTTGATCCGGAAGATGAAGACGTAGAGGGCCAGCAGGTTGAGGGTGAGGCCCACCACGAAGACGATGCTGTAGGAGACGGGCAGGAGGATGTATTTGAAGTCCTCGTCAAACTTGCACTTGTAGGGGTGGTCCTCCTCGCTGCACCCGCCCTCCGAGGAATTGGTGCTGGCGTTCAAGGAGGACAGCAGGGATGTGACGTTCGCCATTGCCCTGGGAAAGCCCCAAAGAAAGCCACAGTGAAAAATGCTAGCGAGGGAGCAGCACGGCATTCATACAGAACACTCACCTGGCTTTTCCTGGTACGCTGAATCAACAAAGAAGAAAAAGAAAAGAGAAGAAAAACCACTTTCCCACAGGCTGGGTTTGCAAAGTGAGTGAAGACGGGGAAAAAAAAGTCAAACCTTAACCAAGCGTTGTAGATGATCTGAACAGGACTCTACCTGGCTTAACGAAGCAGGTTTGTGTGAACAGAGCCATCCGGGACAAGAGCTGATCAAGGTTTATCATATTCTCAAATGGTTTTTTTTTTTTTTAGTGGGCGGGGGGGAACAGAGAGAGAGAGGACTTCTTTTGCCTTCCAACCCCAAAAAATGTTGGAAATGAATGATGAAATAGGGCTCAGATGGGCTCTCCATCTCCGTCCATTAGCAGGGGAATTCTCTGGAAACTTAAGAACGGGGCCAATTTGGTGTGGAGGGAGATGGAGTTCGAAAACGGGGCAAATCAGGTGGGGGCCTGCGCAGAAAAAATATCCCCCGTGCACCCCTGCGGGGCAGCGGTTCAAGATGCTGCCAACCGCTCCAATCTAACCCCCGCCTGCCCATCTACTGGTCGCGTGACCCAGAGCAGTTCTGCATCTCTTCCAGCCCGGTGCCCTCCCTGAGTGCCAGGACAGCAACTCCCAGAATTCCCAGGGGCAGTTGCCCTCTGTGGAGGGAGCTTGGCTAACAGAGGGAAATATCTGAAGCCGGCAGGCTTTATAGGCAGTGGCAGGAACCAGCACAGCCTTGAAGAAAGCGCCCATACTGATCCGATGCTTTGGCACAACCACCTTAGAGTCTTTCCTTGGTCAAAACCGGTCCTTCTCTGCATTGAGGATAAAGGAGGTCCATCCACATGGACAAGGCCTGTTCTCCAAGCATAAATATGTGCATGTTTCGAGTGGGACCATGCTTGGCTCTTCTCTATTAATTACATGAAAATTCGTTAAGGGAATATGCACACTGGAAACATGAGTATTCTTTATTTCTATCCAAGTGCCTTTTCTCTTTCTGCAGAAGTAGCTGGGGATGCTGTTGTCATTGTTCTAAATCTGTGCTTTTCAACCTTGGCCTCTTTAAGATGGGTGGACTTCAGCTCCCAGAATTCCCACGCTGGATGAGGAATTCTGGGAGTTGAAGTCCACCCATCTTAAAGTGGCCAAGGTTGAAAAACACTGTTCTAAATAAAGGCGCACCTTTTAAACTTTCTCCAGCTTCTTGGTTGCTTCATGAGGAACAGGGGTGTCTCCAGGGGGTGGTCAAAAAAGTCAAGATGGTGACCATGACAGCATGCACATCACATATATAAAACAGGCAGAGCTCTGATTGCACCACCATCGCGGCCTTTTTGACTTTTCTGACCACCCCCTGCGGACACCCCCGACTAGGGATATTCCCCAACACTTCCCTGTATAGAGTAAATAACCTATTAGTAATGTTAATTACTAATGGTGGTGGTGGTTTTATTAATTGATCCTAATATTTATCTTTTGATTTGTATCTGATGAAGTGACTCAAGAGGCTTGCCAAACTACACAAAAGCTATTACATCATCTTCCCATGATTGATTGATAGATAGATAGATAGATAGATAGATAGATAGATAGATAGATAGATAGATATTTTTGGAATGGGAGGGAGGGCAACTTTATTTTGGTACAGAATTTGCACTCTGTTCTCTGGAGCCTTTCCTATCTGAAATTCAGCAAGAGCCAAAATATGTTTATCTTCCTCCTTGCCAGCAGAAACGTCTGGATTGAGGAAGTGTTTGCTGAGACCGAGCTGACCCTGCACCAACAATTCTCAGATGAACATGACAAAGTCTCTCTGTGCCCTTCGGAGAATTGCACAATCTACATTCCTTCCTTGTGTGCCATCCTGCCTGTAAATGCCTCTTTCTGGGTCTTGCCTTTTAATGATTAACTTTCGAAAGGTACTTGCCAGCTGTTGCAAAGAGTGAGAAGATGCTAAAGGAAGAGGTCAAGAGATAATCTTTTGCATGCACCCTGATTTCTGGAGGTGACAGCCAAGTGCCAGAGGGAACCAGGATTAAACCACAATTAGATCTCAGGGCTTCCAAGACCGAATGTCCTATTGCTTCATCTGACCAATTGTTGCAGACCACTGATATAGTAACTGATGGTAACTGATATAGTAACTAATTCTCCCTGTAAATCCTTCTGCGATCCCTCAGTGGGCACGCTATGGCCAGAGACTCAAGGTGAATTCATGATACAAATGCAAGCTTGTTGGGAATAAACGTCCTTTTAACTTTTTGAGTTTGAAGCTCAGAAAAACGCAGCCCATCTAAAAACTCGGTCACTGGTTTAAAAATGTACTGCATTCAGAATGCAGTGTGAAAATGTCATTTTACTGTCTATATCAGGGTTTCTCAACCTTGGCAACTTGAAGACGTGTAGACTTCAACTCCCAGAATTCCCCAGCCAGCAGGGAGTTGAAGTCCACACGTCTTCAAGTTGCCAAGGTTGAGAAACACTGGTCTATATTATAGGTTACCAAGAATTCACTACAGTAACTGTTGTGCAGGGGGTCACCTGGAGAGGTCCCAAAAGTTGAGATGGCAGTAGTGCCCCCATGAGTGAAGCCCCACCCCTTTCTTATGTGCATTGCATTTGCACACATGTAAAAAAGAGTGGGGTTTCAATTCCACAGTCACAGCCACCATCTATGTATCATTGATATCTTTTCAAGGACACATCCAGCCCTACAGATGTTAAACTATGAATAGAGAAAGGACAGTTTCAGTCGGCAGAATCCTGGTTTCTTTGCCAAATGCCATATCCCTTCCTTCTGCCAGAGTGATACGGTTCGGGCACCAAGCTAGCTCCGTTGCAACAAGGCTGGCATTGTTCCTGGATGGCCCCCAAAACACTTGGATTGTGGATTGTTGACTTCACAATCTGCCACTGTTTGATTGCGGGGAGATGGCCTTCTTGTTTCTAAATGCTTCATTTGGGGGCGAGGGTTGGCATCTGCGTGCCTGGACTTTCAAAATCCTGCCAGGGTGCATAAATTCACAAGGCTGAGAGGAAGCGGGCAAAAGAGAAGGCCGCTTGCATCCAGAGGCATTCAGATGACCTTTTCCTCTGGCCTGGGGGTGGGATAGTGAGAATATTTGTGGGGGTTCATGAGCTGTCTTTCTCCAGCCATAGCCAACGAGAAAAACAGGAAGAAGATGCTGGCCGAGAGCCCTTGCTGCTTACTTTCAAGTTCATCCCATATCCTGCCTGGGATGTGAAACCTTTACAGTCAGAACAAATTTGCAGTCCTCCAGTTTGCATGGGACTATCATTCCCATCATCCCAGACCAGGGTGTCTGCAGCAGGGCTGAAAAAGTCAAGATTGTGGGTTGCAACCGCACCTTTTTTAACCTGGGTACACCACGTAGAAAAAAAGCTTCACCCACAGGGTCACCACTGCCATCTTGATTTTTTGGACCCCCTTCAGACCCCCTTTCCCCAAACCAGTGGTCTTGTCAGTTACGTGTGGTTCACTGAGACAGCTGACAAGCCACGTCGGATCCCACGTAGTGTTTTATCTATACAGACATGCGTAACTCTTGCAAGAATTGTAGAAACATCAAGTTGGAAGGACCACAAGGAGCATTGATTGAGTCCAGCGTTTCTCAACCTTGGCAACCTTGAGATGTGTGGACTTCAACTCCCACTCCTACAGAGTCACTCTGTAGTGAGATGGGCGCTGACAAATTTGAAATATAAATTAAATAAATAAATAAATAAATAAATAAATAAATAAATAAATAAAAAGAATGCCTACATACAGTAAGTCCTTGAGTCAGCAGAAGGAAGGTGTTAGAGGAACAGTGTTCTAAATAAATAGGGGCGTAAATACATGTCTAAAGCGATTGAAAATTCTGGAACATCTTTAAAACTCAATGCTAAAACCTTCAAAATGCAAAGGTTCATGAAGCTTCCCCCCTCCTGGTTTTTAGAAGACCTTTAAAGACAGTTTTATTTCACCAGATTTTCAACCCTGGCTAAGTTGGATTAGCTTCTGTTTTGGAAGACGGAAGTTTATTGATTCTTAGCGTTGTTGTTTTTATTCATCAGACCTGGGAGGACCTCCTGGTGGGATGGCGGATGGGGAGAGAAGAGAGGACCTCTTCTCATGAGCGTGCCTGTTTCATATCTCACAGCAGAAAGGTTTGAGAAAAGGTAATTTGGGAAAAACTGCCATAGTTGCCCTACATATTGCAGTGGGTTGGACTAGATCAGTGTTTCTCAACCTTGGCGACTTGCAGATGTGTGGACTTCAACTCCCAGAACTCCCCAGCCAGCCATTCTCCAACTAACAGATAAAGGGGTGCATTAGAGAACTGGTATGGTGCAGGGTTGAGGCGCTGGACTGGGAGTGGAGAAACCCAGGTTCAGGTTCTCCCTGGGGCATGGAAGCCAGAAACTGGCTGAACAATGAAACTCCTCATTTTTCGTGATTGATAGCTTTGCTCTACAAACCACGGTGAGGGCACGGCAATGTGAGCAGATCTTGAAAGCAAGCAGAAGAAACCTTAGGGAAAGTACTAAATAAAGGGGTCCCTGCTTCAGGTCTACCCTGGGCTGTGGAAGCCCCCCAGGGGACTTTGAGCCAGTCCCTCTCTGTCTAGCCTACCTCACAAGATTGTTGTGGGATCTGAACTGGGGAGACCCAGCTTCTGGTCTACCTCCAGCCACATACGTTCCCTGAGGGACCAGTCCTTCCCTTTCAGATGCTGGACCAGGAGCAGGGAGACCCTGGTTCTGGTCCCCCTTCGGCCACAGAAGCTCCCTAGGGCAGGGTTCCTCAATGTTGGTGACTTGAAGATGTGTGAACTTCAACTCCCAGAATTCCCCAGCCCGCCATGCTGGCTGGGGAATTCTGGGAGTTGAAGT